TAACTTGCGAAGTCGATCGACATACCTTTGCATCTTTTGCAGGTGCACGGTAAGAGATTCTCCATGACCCATTTTGGCGGAAATCATGTTAGTGAAAATCTCGTAACGCTCTTGTCTCGCGTTTTGGTGGTATCTCTCCAAAAAGTCTTGGTGCATTTCATATGGATACATGTCCTCGTAGGACTTTTGGAATTTGGAATTCATGGTGGCTATCATGATGCAATGTACCTTCGTTGCATCACGCTCGTGAGTTTCAAAAGCAACCATTTCATCCGGAGTAGCGATTTCAGGATTGATCTTCTCGAGCTTTTCATCGAGGACATACACCTTGTCCTCGTAGCGAGGAATCGTGCGAATGTATCTTATCCATTCGCTAAAGTTTGTTCCATTGAAAGTTACCTTTTGGCAAAGGCTCATCAATGTGAACGAGCTTGCAGCAGTGTTGATTGCGTTTGACATATACAAATAGAAAGGACAAAGATAGATTAGAATTTTGGATCCCTAATTATCACCCAATAAGAAAATTTAGGGCTAGGATCCAACAACAACATTTACATATTAGAAAAGGGATGTCGTAATCTAACATGCAAACAATTTGAACGTAAGTGAATGACGATTCACAAATTCTTCACCACAAAACATAACTTTAACTCTAAGTGTAATGAGAATTCCTATATTTAGATGAGATTCATTGAACTTTTGAATGGCATGTTTAAATCTTGATATGCCCCTCTCGTTTATGACTGTGATACCGAGGATCACAAAGTGGGTGTGAATTACCATGCAAATTCACATGGTTCCTTCATTGTAACAATCACCTATTCGATGTGCCGGTAAACCACACACACTCCATCGAACTATGATAAACAATGAATCACCCTTTTCCACCTTTGCTTAGAACCAATTAGTGTACCGGTAAACCACACACGCTCCACTAACTTCTTAGCAAGCGTGCAAAGTGTAATTTCATGGGATTGCATCAATTCACTTTTCGTAAAGTAACTAGGATTGGGAATTTTTTTTTTTGAAAAACATGTAATTACTTTGTATTTATTATTATACTTTTAATGAGAAGATGAGGTTTCCCTATCCTACCCGTTCGGCTAACGACCCTCCACCGATCAAGCAAGCGGTGGGTGTGAGTGTACACCCATTAAGCACCATTTTATAGGCAGCAACCTTATACCCACCTTATAGACCGGCTTCGTGAATGAGGCCTACTAACGGTAAGACTAGCATTTTAGTTATATATATATATATATATATATATATATATATATATATATATATATATATATCTTGTAATATTATATTATTATAGGGTCGAATTTTAAACTTGTAAAATTCTAGGGTTTGAAATTTAAATTGTCCAAATTAAACTTTTAATCACAAAACATAAATTTCAAAACTTGAGGGTAGGTTTTAAACTTTTCAAAACATAGAGGATTAAATAACAAGTAATCTAAATTAACATTTAATCACATAATTATCCATATTTGATTTCTTTAATTATTTCTTGCAAAACAATTTACCAATTCAATTAAAATAATTAATCAATTATCACATAAGGAGACTAATATTTAATTAATTGATAAATATCTTCAATTAGGTCAACGATATACTCAAATATATAAAAAAATCAGATTTATATTGACCTAATATGATTAAGGTAAGTTTCAAAAGGATAAACAGCAAGAAATCCCGAAATTAGCTCTTTCTGACGCTCGAGCTCACCAAGAACCACAATGGACTCGCCGAGTTGCGGCCTACTCACCGAGTCCACTATAGGACTCGCCGAGTTCATCAGCCAGGAACACAAAATCGAATTTTGCAAGCATCAAACAAGTAACCAATGCATCAATTCAATACAAACCAATCTAGGCTCTGATACCACTAATGGGTTTTAGTTGTATGAACATTCCTATGTACACATACAAACCCTAATGCTTAGATCTAGGTTTCTCTAATTGAACTTGCATGAATCCAAGACTTCTAATGGTTATTCTATCATAATAACAAACAGAAATCATAGTTATAAGTTTACCTTGAATCACTTGTTTGATCTTCTTGTTCTTGGAGCTTTAGAGTCACAATTGTCACTCCTCTAATGGCTTACAAACACCAACTAGCAAGAGGATGATTTGAGAGTAGGGAGGGACTTAGAAATCGGTCAAGGTTTCTTTAGGAACAAGAGGTGCCGATTTCCATGACCCCAATGGTCTATTTATACTTGTAAGGCTCCTAGGGTTTCACCCTTAAACCCTAATTGGATAACTTAAGCCCAAAGCAATCCTAATCCCTTCATGATAACCATTTGGATGGATTTTAGGATTATCCTAAGCCATAAAATCATCCACTATATCATCCATAAGGAATTATAGCCTAAAGTATAACTATCACACAAATTTGACAGTTTAAGTCCTTCTATTTATTTAATCTCTTTAAGTCACCAAATTAATTCCTAATTAATTTATGACTTATATTAATCAAGTAATAATAACATTATTCCTTATAATATTTCAACTCTCAATGTAAATCATCCTATCTAGTTGCTATAGTGAAGACAACCCAAAAGGATCATGCTCAATCGGGTCAAATACTTGCTTAATATAGTTGCAGCCTTAGTTACTATTCTAACATCAATATGTACGTATTTTTAAAAACATATATTTCCTATACAAAAAAAAGAATTTAAAAAAAATTATATAGAAAATCCAAGACTTTATATGTGATTTTTTTTGTATAAATATTATTTTATAAAGAGAAAACGTCTTCGGAACAAAGTTTAGAGAAAAAAATTGTAAAAATAAAGGGTTAGGTTGAATTCAAAACAAAATTCTAAAATATGGGCCAAAATGGTAAATTTTGGACCAAATTTGTAATAAATTTTGATATTTGGGCCAAAAGTGTAAATTTTTGACTAAATATGTAATAAATTTTGAAATCTGGGCCAAAAATATAATTTTTGAAATTTTGATTACCAGTTGACCGGGTAGAAGGGTGAAATTGAATACGATTATTGGTTTTTCGGACTTAATCGAATAAAAAAAGATATAAGGACTAAATCGATTTTGAGGCCAATATATAAGAACTTCATTGCAGTTTTCCCTAATTTATATTATTAAAATAAAAAACATATATCATATAAATCTAAAGTTTACATAATTATTAAAAATAACTATATTTATTAAAATACAAAGACACGACTTTAAATAAAATAATAATCAACTTCCCATCATTAATTTGGCTAAAATAGTCAACTAGAGCTTCATTGTATGCATAAAGTTAATTAAGGTAATGCAAAGATATATATGATAGAATAAATTACACGAATGGTCCTTTAGCTTTATAGTTTTTCTATGAATTAGTTCATATGAAACTTTTTTCCCTTATGTGGTCTGTACGAAACAAACATTGCACACAAAAGGTCCTTATGACTAACTTTGATAATAGATTTTGTTAAGTAATTGTAAATAACTAAAATACCCTTTGTTGTTTGTACATAATCTCTCTCTCTCTCTCTCTCTCTCTCTATCTCTCTCTCTCTATAATTGGTGACCTAGATGATGTTTTCACTCCTCAACCTAGAATTTATGAACACTGATGAAAATTTTATCGATAAAAAATTCAAACACCTGCACCAATATTTTATTTGTTGTATGGAATTAGAGAACACAACAGTATCATTATCGAAAAGATTGAACACCGGAATCAACAACAACTCGTTGGGTTCTGTTTGTCATTTGTTTTTTAGATTTCTCTATGGTGTTGATGGAGGCTCGATTGAACCGTCGGTTGGGCTTCGACTTGGCGTGTCCAGTATCAGCAATACTCGAATGGCCAAACCCCTATTCTTTCTTGTGTCTCCTAGAACAAACAAGTTTTTTTTTCTGTCTTTACGCTCTATCTAAACTTGGTTTGCTACATTCTGTGCAACAATGAAAAAGGTCAAGTCGTGTAGCACATCTGACTGTCCTTTTTACAAGGAAGTCATGTGTGCAAGATTTTAACGAGCATATCAACCCAACTCAGTTCCAACAATTACGAGTATCGATATAATAATTACTTGTTCAGAGAACAATGAGAAGACAAGGAAGACAAGAACTAAATTGATCAAGAAGATAATCAGGAATCACAATCGTAGAGAATTCGAAATCTATTGACCCATTTTTTATTCAAATTCAGATTCTTCATCTTTCTCATATACTCACCCAATATCTGAACCACAAGCGATCTAAATCCACAAATTATTCGATCATTAATGAAACACATTGAATAAACTTTGAAGAAGATCAAAAACCACTACTGCAGGTGAATTGCAACTCCCCCCCCCCCCCCCCCCCTTTTCTAAACATAGGATGTTAGTCAGTGAATTGTTTTAATGTTTTTTTGTTTCTTAATCCTCTGTTTTTTGGAACTGAACTTATCAGACTACCTAAAAATGAATTATATCTTTGTTGTTTGGGGTCTTAATCTATGTTCCTAATGGAATCCACTGGGATTCGCTCACACACCACGTGTTTGACTCATTTTCTCTAGGATGGATATCGAAGCATGAAGTTAGGTTTTTGTAAGGAACTAGATAGAGTATCTTGTTGAATACACTTTGTTGATGGAGGGTGGATTTGACCAGAAGCTTTTGCTATTGAGAATGGTGGTTTGGTCATTTTTGGGTGGTGGTGATTGTGAAATCTCATGTTTTTAGTGGTATCTATATTTAGGAATGGCAACGGGGCGGGGCATGGTTTCCCAAACCCGAACCCGATATCTACATATGTGCCCGAACCCGACCCGATACCCGACGGGTTTCTTATCAGGGCGCCCCGTCGGGGCTGAAACTCTCCTCGAACCCGACCCTAAACCCGAAACCCGATAATTACCCGAAAACCCGACCCTAAAACCCGAAATATGGCAGAAAAAAAAAGAAGGAAAAACTATAAATACAGAATGATAAATTAAGACGATGCATAAACTTAAAATACCAAATAAGTTCTTAAATCATTTAACCAAATAGAAATTACTAATAGTCTAATATTGTAACATCAACCAATCAACCAAAACACCCAAGTACACAACATTAAAAACTAATTCATCACAATAATACATTACCACTTAACATTAAAACAAAGTTACAAACTCAAAATCAAACAAAATCATCCAAACTTGTTGTCCCGCTTTCTTTAGTGTTTTCCTACAAAATATTAAACAAACTCAAAATCAAACCAAATCATGGAAACTATATATAATTAATATTTTTAGGAGTTTCGTTTTACCTCTTCCACATCATAATCAAATTCAACAGAACGGCAATATGCCTCCGTCTCTTCAGAACAAGTTGCTGTGTAAAATTAATATTATTAATATGCAAAAAAAAAATCACAATTTCATATAATTAATATAAAATAGTATACTACCTCGAATTTCATTCAACAACCAACTTTGAGCACACATTAAAGCCTCCAATGTCTTTGGATGAAGTCGATTACGATGAGGACATACTAATCTTCCACTTGTGCTGAAAGCTGATTCCGAGGCAACAGTGGAAACAGGAATAGCTAATATATCTTTAGCTATCCTTTGTAGTGTCGGGTACTTAATCCCATTTGTTTTCCACCATGCCAGCAAATCAAGTTCCATGTCTTTAGGCAACAATTTCTCCTTCAAGTAGTTATCCAACTCACTCATACCTCCTGATTCATCATCATCTCTAGTAATAGAAGCAATATCCGATAAGAGCTTTTTGAATCCAACACGATGACCAGAAGAGATACTAGAACCAAATGAAGATGAACCAGGAACTGAACCACCACAAACACGTAATGTTTAGTATAAAAATGTTAATAATTTAAGATAATGTTCCATTTATTATATAAACAATAAGAAGAATACAATACCTTCACTCTTCCTTTTTTTAGATGCATTACTTGACTCGTACTCTTGAAACAAAGTTGTGACAAACCCCTCCAAAATTTGAAATTCAATCTTTGCCTTTTCTTCTCCATAAAGCACAGGCAAAAGTAACTCCACAAACTTTAACTTGTATCATGGATCTAAAACTGCTGCCATTCCCATTATCCCATGAATTACAGACCAATACTTATTGAACTTAGAAAGCATTTGGTTAGCCATCACCTTAATCTCCTCAATAGGAGATTTCGTCCACTCACGCAAAGAATATCCAATCTCACATATCAAAGGAAAAAAAAACATTAGCTGTAGGATACTTTGAACCAGAGAACATATCAGTCACCTCATAAAAAAGTTGTAATCTTTCACAAATCTCACTAGCCAACTCCCAATCCTGGTCTGTAGGAAAACATATATACTTGGGGTCTCTTGTCTTCACGCGATCAAAAACCTCTTTGTAGCTTATAGCAACACTCAACATCAAGAATGTAGAGTTACATCGTGTCTTGCAGTCAATTATCAACTTCTTTGAGTATGGTATTCCCAATTGCTCTGCTGCTGTCACAAAATTTTGTTCCCTCTTTGGTGATGCAGACCAAAATGCAACATTCTCTCTGATTCTCTCAATCTCAAATTTAATGAGAGATAAGCCATCTTGCACAATAAGATTGAGAATATGTGCGCAGCAACGCATATGACACTTTCCTATCAAGATTTCAATCACACAAAGTAGCATAAAGTATGTCGGCAAGAACATCATATGTATGCGGACAAGGCACGTAAATAAACCTGTTTAAGAATATATATATATATATATATATATATATATATATATATATATATATATGTTAATATTAACATATAAATAATAAGTACGTATAAATTGTAGTTAAATAAGTATAATATACCTCATAATTCTGCTTTGCAAGTTCCAGTTTTGATCTACAAAATGTGTTGTGATTGCCATAAACCCTTTTTTTTGATGATTAGATGTCCACATATCAGTAGTAACTGCAATTCTGCTTTTGTTCTTTGCTAACAAACTCATAGTTTTATCCCTTTCATAATCATAAATTCTTTTGATGTCCTCCTTGATGGTGTTTCGACAAGGAACCTTAAACAAAGGTTGAAGACCTCCCACAAACTTCCTAAATCCATGATGTTCTACAATTGAAAGCGGATACTCATGCAAAATAATCATTTCAGCCAAATCCTTCCTAGAAGTATCAGCATTAAATGAATAATTTGAAACATGCGTTGTAGTACCATCTACTTTCTTTTTTTCGTGCACCAAGATAGACTGACGGATATCTGTAAAAGGTTTGTGTATACAACGCTTATGATGTGCAAGTAAATGTTTTGTGCCATTCTTGCTATCTGCACCCAACACTTTAGAGCAATATTTACATCTTGCTTTAACTTCACCATTCAAATTAAATTTTATAAAATGTTGCCATGCCAGTGAACGCGTTGCCATTTTCGAACCAACAACTTCATCTCCATCTTCATCAAAAACTGTATCATTAATATTTGTCCCATCTTGTTGATCCACAGAATCGGTATTTTGTTGATTAGAACCCGAACCTCCCACATCTTGACTACTTGCAGTTGGAGCATGATTTTGATCGGTTGAATTCATATTTGCTGAAAAATAACCAATGTCATATCATATTCAACAATTCTAATGTATCAAAAACCCAAAGTTGACAACATCTTAGTCTTCATTAAAGGAATCCAAATCAATGTCTAATAATACAGCCGGATATCAAATAAAAATTTAATCTTAACAAAACTTAAATTCAAATAGAAGGTTAATAATAACATTGCTAAACGAGTCCCCGGTGTTTCTTTATATTTATTATATCTATATTTGTAATATCATTCAAGTATCTAGACCAAAAATTTCATGGAAGCCAATAAATACTTTTATATTCTAATAGCAAAGATAGTTAGATACAAATTCATAGTTCATACCCAAATGATGCAATATAAGGAAATGAAATATCAATAAACATATTACATATACCATGTGTAGAGAAATCAGACTTGGTGAATAAGCTATTAAGCTGTGATCGAAATTAATACCTAAGATCAATAAGTTATTAAGCTACTAATACCTATGATCAATAAACATATTACAAATGGTGCAATCGAAATTAATACCACAAACAGATTTTAATGTTCATATGGATTTCAAGAATCGAAATTACAAGCTGTGATCGATTTTAAGAATTGAAATTTCAATGTTTATACCGAAATTACAAGCTGTGATCGAAAGTCGAAATTACAAGTTGAGTATCCGTCTAACTGGTCGGAAGAGAAAAAAAAAGTCGATTTCAATGGATTTCACTGCTTCCCTGGTCGTCGCGTGTTGCTAAGTCGTTGCTTCGCTCTTCGCTGCTGAGTCGCTGAGTCACTGCTTCGCTCTTTTCTGCTTCCCTTGTGGTGTATCGCTGCTACGCTCTTCGCTGCTTCCCTTGTGGTGTATCGATTTTTGGGTGTGTCGGCTGGAGTAGAAGAATGATTGAACGAAGAGAAGTGTAAGGAGGATACTGGAGTGGAAACGTGATTTTAGGGTCATGTGTTCAAGGGGCAGCAATGTAATTTCATATATATATATATATATATATATATATATATATATATATATATATATATATATATATATATATATTCGGGGCGGGTCGGGTCGGGGCGCGCATACCCACTCCCTGCCCCGAACCCGGATAAAATACCCAATAAAGACCCGTTACCCGACCCGAAACCCGATAATAGCGACCCGACCCGACCCAAAATATTCGAGAATCGGGTTTCCCCGTCGGGTTCGGGTTTTTTTGCCATCCCTATCTATATTTGTGTGTGAGGGATTATAAACAAGAAGGATCTTCTGTTTGCGTTAACAAATGGTGTTTTTGTAACGCCCGTGTTTATAGGTTGATCATTGGTATAGTGATGTAATGGTTAGGGTCAGCAATTGTAACTTAAATTGAAGTAATAAAGAGGAATTACTTGATATTATGTGAATTATGTGATTTTATGTGTATTATACTTATATAGTAAGATATAATAAATTAAGAATGAAAATAAGAGACTAAAATAAATAATAGATAAGCCTAATATCTATGAAGAAAGTTGTAGTGGTCATGACAAGGATTCTGGTGATATAAATTATGCTGAAATCCGAGTTTTAACGAAGATGTTATGACCTATCGAAGTTTCGCGATAAAACTAACATGACGTTGTGTGACGTAAACAGTGAGTTTATGACAAAAGTACTTTTTAGCCTTAGCGATCTAAATGAAAGTCATAGTATACGTTAAACCGAGTGTGTGCATAAAAAGAACGTAAATCTGACTTCATGTGAGGAAGTTAGGATTTTTCTAAGGTTTGGCATAGTAGTATGCAGCCTGGAATTCGAATCTTTGATCAACATATTTTTAGCCAAGACAACTTAAACAAGATTCGAAGAACTCGTTAATAGGAGCTCAACGATAAAAAGACAAACGAAAACAGACATCGGATGAGAAAGTTATGAATTTTTAACGGACTTTACCTGTGAAGGTCTGTTAAAAATATAACTTTAAAAATAAAGTCAAAAATTGCCGATGGATTCTAAATGAAAGCTGTAGAGTACGTCTCCGCCTATGCGTGAATATAACGAATGTCGAAAATGGAGCTCGTATACGATTTTTCCGGAATTTGGAAGTCGGAAGTGGCTGATGTGAGATTATACATGAACGCGTAGCGTAGAGAAGCCCTACTCCGCACGTTTTCGCATACTAGGCTCCGAATCAACAACGTCGCCCCACCCAAAGCTTGCCACGTGTACCCTCGTACATGTAGCGTACCACCGAAGGCACACCCAACGTAGTCCAAGGCTGAGGGCTATGAATATCATGCGAGGGTTGCCTTCATTCATCACATTATCTACCTTTTCTCTTTTTCTCTCTCTCTCTCTATCTCTCTCTCTCTCTCTCTTTATCTCCGTCTCTATCTAACCTCTCTCTAAACCTCCCCCAACCTCTAGTATCTTGTATGTACTATATTAAATCCCCAGAGCGCCAGAAGGCTCTGAGAAAAAAGAGCTTTTCGGCTCAGAAAATGTTGCCCCCGCAGAACCCAGTTTCTATCAAACACATCTGCAAGTGAGTTATGCTTACTCTACTCTAAGTATAGCTTTGGTTTAAATTTGTTATCACTATTATGAGCTTATAAACAATATATATTATGAAATAAAATATATAAAGTGTTATTATAATATGTTTTAACTATTTGCAGTACGGGGAATCTGATTTAAAGGATCACATATGATTGTTAGATTTCTGAAGCGCTATAATGCCAAAATGGTCCTGCCCTCTGGTTTATCATGCTTGGTCGTTGTCTGTACACAGTTGTTGAAAAGTATTGTTTAACACTTATAAAAGAATATCTCTCATGAATGGTCGCGATAATATTAGACTAAAATCTAGTGGTAATAATACTAGGTTTCAAAGAAGGTAAATAGAATTATTAGAAGTGAAGCGTTGTCCGAGTTGAAATCACCACTTTAACAAGTGAGTGCATATTTACTTTCATAGTACACATAGATATGAAGTATTTAATATAAATTATGATCTATGTGTTTATATTATCTGTGTTCCTTATATCCAAGTTGGATGAACAATTTAGACACATTTTAAATGATTTAAACTGTATATGTATTTTATATCTACAAAAATATTGGGAAAAACATGGATAGATGAAATAGCTGACATGTGATAAAATGATGAGAGGCCTCGATGTTTACGATGATCCAGTCATCTAGCAGAGTATAGATGACGACCACAGACTATTCTAGACATTCTAGTGGGACACTGGTAGGCTCACAGGCTGTAGGTGCTTATTTGAAATGCGTGTTCACCGGGTGTACTACATCCCACTCATGGTTCCCTTATTTAACATGTATTGCTGAGGAATCCCTAAGCTGTTTTTTCACCCTGAAGAAAATCCTTAGGCTAGGTCCCTTATAATAAATGCTTTAGGGATGTAAGGTGAGGATAATGAGAACGGGTAATCGGGTTGAATGATTTGACAAAATTAATGAGCTTAATTATTGTCGGTTGAAAACCTTATGTGCTCACCAGGCTCCCAAGCCTGACCCACTTAATTTCTTGTATACAGTTAGTGGCAAGAGAGCACGAGAGTGATGGTCTGATGAGAGATCAATGAATTATAGGTGTGAGAAAAAGATACGATGCATAGGGACAAGGTTTGAAAACTCAAACCTTGAGTTAATACTTAAGATCATTGTCTACTTATAACTATATGTTCCAGTTAATTCTGGAAAGACTAGTCAAAACTAAATAGAGAAATCAACAAAGTATTTCAAGTATTAAATATGGAACTATGAGTATAATCAAAATAAATACAATAAATGAACAGGGAGAATTTTTGAAAGAGTTTGATATGAGAGAAAATTGAAAGTGAAGTAAATTTGAAAAAGACTATCTTTGGAGCAACAATCTGTCATATTTTCTTATCATTAAACACTCCTTATATAGGAAAAAGGAGTTACATCTTACATAACAAAATACATACAAAGGACTGGATAAACGAGTTACATCCGACACTCTGATTATCCAACTTGAAAAATTAACTTAGTCTTATGTAAGGTTACATCAAATAAAAGACAAGAATAATTAATGCTGACGGATTCACAATCTCTGAACATCTCTTTACTTCGCACCACAAAAACTTCACTTCTGACTTTAATCACCATGTCGGAGCATGACCATTTCGGACATAAGCTTAACTTTGGAACTCCACATGTTACAGATTTCTAGACGTTTACTTTCGGGTTCCAACAATCTCCCCCTAAGTGAACTTAGTAATCTAGTCAACTTAGTTCATATCTTCCTTGATGAACACATACGCCCAGTACAACCAATCTCTTACTTCAATGTAACACTACAGCTGACTTATAAACTTGGATTTTACATGTTATGGTGCCTCAAACTTGGATGCACAATTGATGAACTTCTGAAGCACCATGGTGGGAACCAAATGTTTATCATGGACTCGAAAGAAGTCCTTGTTGGTTTTTCTCTGAAGATACACGAACCCTAACAATGGTTCGTAAATTGGTCCCTCTGCCAGTATCTCGGCTTCTAGTAGCTTCAAGTCAATCTTGGCTAAGTAATTCTCGGTTCCGAACAAATGAGCCAATTCAAAATTTCAATGACAAAATTCAGCAATGTAATCTTTAAGAAAGCTCAGGGCAGCATGGTAAGATCCCATGCTAAGATCATCGACTTGGTACATTCTGAAGTATGTTGTAATGGTCAGGATGTCATTTGGATTGTGCGTATGGAAGTCAACGTTAGTGATGGTATTTTGTGTTGGTTTGTTTCGGAAGATGCGGTATCGGAACAACAAATAGTTTATCTCGAATTTTGTTAAGATTTTCCTTCCGAACCCAGAAATCTTGGTGATCCTTTTCCGACACCATACTTCTTTTTGAGGAAGTGCGTTATTGGAGTAAAAGGTCTTCAATCTTTCTCGTTCAATTCTAATGATCATCTTCTGGGTGGAGAGGAGCAAACTTTGTGTAGAATTTGTTGTAAGGAGAAAGACATATATCAATCTGGTCAGAATCATTTT